AGGCTTATCTATTTATAATTATTATTCTATTGCGCCTCAAAGATTGTAATTTCCTAAACTTCCTAAAGGAAATATGTAACCTTCTATTTTCACTGTTACCTTGAGTATCATCTTTTTATATTCATGATGGCCAATGAAGTGGCAATTGATATTGCATTCAGGGATTGGCACTTTTTTTACTAGTGGAAAATGCCTATTGTCCTAAATTTACAAATATTCTGTTGATTGTCTATGCAAAGTCTCTATTTGCAAACCAACTTTTGAATTTTCCCTCAATAACTTGGCAGTTAATTGAATGTTAAAATATTAGTACTTGAAAGATTTAGAAGCAGAAATATCTTATCTCAGTGAGCTGGCTCTTTCCCTGTGAGTCTTATGGCTGAGAAAGGATAGCTTACCAGTTTTTTGCTGATATTTGTTTTAAAAGAATTAAAATGTTTTATGGCTATACAGTTATTTCATGTTAAAAAATATTTTTTCTCCTTGTTTTGTGGGAAAATCAATGAGAATAATGACAAAACAACACATTAAATGAATTTTCGCATTACTAAATTAGTAATAAATGTTTTTGTCTTGATGTAGATTATTGTTAAATATTTTTAGGTTGTTTCAGTAAATTTTCAGTATTAACCAGCTCTATAAATGTATGCTTTAGCATGTAATTGTTGCTGAAAATAAATATCTCAGTTAAGTTGCTCTCTTCATGTAGGATGTGTGATTTATCAAAAGTACTATTGTTATCATCATTAACCCTGGTACTGGTGAGGATTATCACTGGTCATTTGAAAACCAAAAGACAGATCTTAACTGAAAAATCATTAGCTTTGCTTCACAAAGGAACAAGTATTTGAGACATTGTTCTTGAAACTGGAAATTAACCAGGGCCATTCTATAGAGCTTTTATACAAAATACTTCAGAAAACATAATTTTCAGTTGTATCAGATGATTACTAAATATATTAGGCTCACCTTTGATAACAAATGTGTGTGTGTGTGTGTGTGTGTGTGTGTGTGTGTGTGTGTTTGTACTTATGAAACTTGAGATAAGAGCTATTGATGTGCTAAATAAATTAGCAGGAGTCTCTCAGACAGTGACATGGTGCCAGTAAATCTGTGTCATCCCAGATCTCATACATAAAAGCATTGCATTCCAATAAGGGGCCGTTTTGTTCTATCTAAGTGATGTAATCATAACTTTTGGAAGTTCATTCCGTCAAAGCAGGCCACACATTTATACTGGTTACTGAAAGTTTAAAATTGCCAAAATTGACTTTAAACTGTTTCTGCTGTAATATAAATGCAATTTCTGTGGAAGCAATAATATCATGGATAAGCAAGAGGCCTCTTAAGTTAAATAAATTAAAGGCTTCTGAGACAATTTTTCTTGATTTTTGTGTACGAGAGAGAGAAACCTATTTTCAATCAACCTATAAATAAATAAATACACACATATGTATATTAACACAGATAAAATGTCCATTATGTATTCCATAGTTTCTCACTCACGCAAATTAAAGAAATATTTAATTTTTTTACTTTCTTTTTTTAAATAACAAATTTTTCCATTTATTTTACATATTAACCAGTTTCCACTTCCTCCTCTCCTCCTGTCTTCTTTCTTTTCACATCTAACCCTCTTCAATCACTCTTCCTCCATCTTCATTTAGAAAGGGACAGACCTCCCATGGGCTTGCACAAAGCATGGGCTCTTAAAGTTGAGGTAGTACCAAGGCCGAGCCAGGTAATCCAGTATGGGAAACAGGTTACCAAAAGTCAGCTAAGCGCCAGGGAGAGGTCCTGCTCTCACTGTTGGAAGCTTTACTAAGAGATCAATCTACATGGTTGTCACACACATGCAAAGGGAGTAGGTTGGTCCCATACAGGCTCTTTGTTTTCCAGCATCCATGTTCTCCCTTTAACTCCTTGTCTCTGTGGGGTCTCCCATCCTGGCCCCCCACCTGGTTTATATAATCCCTTCTCTCTTTCTTCTGAAAGACTATCAGAGCTCATAGTAGTAGTGTTTATCTGTTGATTTCTTCCTCTGCTTCCATCACTTACTGGATAGATTATCTCTGATGGCAATTAGGATAGTCACCAATCTGTTTACAATAGATGACCAGTTCAGGCACCCTCTCCCCCATTGATTGCTAGGAGTTTTAGTATGGTTCATCCTTGTGAGTTCCTGGAGTTTTCCCTGGCACCAGATTTCTCCCTAGCCCTAAAATGGCATTGTTCAAAGAATCTTAAATGGTTGTAAATAAAGTAAGTGTTACTGTGGCTCTGTCACATGAACCACCCTCCTCAGCACCTTCTGAAACTTCTCTTCCAACAGCCTGACACCCTGGCCACTCCCTCCCTTCCCTACAAGCTCAGGAGTATTTCTTCTTCACAATCAAGTCAGATAGGATGTCAGGCTGGCTTCCCTGGCTTCCCCTCCCTAGGTGGTTGCTCTGCTTCTGTGGAGCTGGAGCACTGATTTCTGTCTGGGGTGGCATTCCTCCTATTTTACCGTAATTGTTATTTGCTTTCTTGGTGTTTTTAGGAATGAAGATCAAACTTTTATCTTTGACTCCTTAGGGTTTCAGTTAATAAATATTCACTAACTCTTTGAGTTGCTGTGAGGAGAGAGATTATAAAAATCCTGAAGAATATGTTCTGCACTTTACCTGTGATGTTTACTTTGACAATCAATTCGGGAACTATTTCTACTTGTGACAGTGGTAAGGAGTGGCAGAAAGTTCTTTGTCTAAAGAGTCAAATAGTTAATAAAAGGGACAGTTGCATCTTCATCTGGGTCGCTGTTTAAACCCACTGTTTCCACATTAAGCCTCTTGTACAGGAGCAATGGTAATACAGAGTGAAAGTTAACGGAAGACACTCACCTGGTTCTGTGTGACTAGAGCACAGTAATGAGACATTGTTAGCGGGGCTTTGTGCACCCTTTAATGCAGGAGACAGAGGCAGGTGAATCTCTGTGAGTTCAAGGTCAAGCTAGTTTACTGGTGAGTTCTAGGGCAACCAGGCCATATTGTCTCCCCCAAAAAAACAAGATAAAGAACCAAGTATTAGTGGAGATGCTTCAAAAATAAGACAGCGAAGCAATGAGCATTTTTTACTTTGTAGATATATTTCAGATTTCCAAAGTTGGGTGTTTAGGGCTCTTATCCTATCCTGTGGAGGAAAGTGGAGCCTGCTCTCTCAACTGACTCCAGAGCTCAGCACTGTGATCCTTGTATTCCCTGGGATAGGCCAGGTTCTGAAAGTGCCTTGTCACATTGTCACTGGATGTAGCATCTGAGTGTGGAGTTACAGCCAAAAATGACCCCAGCTTGTAAGTTAGTGTGGAATCGAGTGCAGTTAAAGTCATTGTGTCCTTATTTACTGGATCTCAGCTGGAAGTACATCCAGGATGTGGACTGGCTTGATTTTGTGATGGTTATCCCTGGAAATTAGCTATAGCCTGATGTGGGTTAAATGTAAGGAATAGTGCTTTTGCTTTTAAAAATGATCTTTTTAACATAAAATTTTTAATGTGCAAAAAAATAAGGTAAGTCTTCTTTTCAAGTTCATTACAAATTATTTTTTTAGAAATGCATCTTTTAAAAAGAGATAACTAATGATCAAATCATAAAGAAAAAACAGCAATAGCACAAACTATGTATAATGAATTAACAGTTCTTTGACTCAAGATTACAATCAAACCAGATGCTGGTGGTACTTGCCTTTAATCCCAGCCCTTGAAGACAGAGGCAGTCAGATAGATCTCTGTGAGTTCAAGGCCAACCTGGTCTACAAGAGCTAGATCCAGGACAGTTTGGGCAGTTCTATTGAAAAACCTTTACAAGAAAAAAAAATCTTTTTGGATTTGACTACATAAAACATAGAAGTTTTTGAAAGATTAAAAGAATTAGTCATATAGTATCAGCAATTACAACATTTTATTGGGAAAATTATAAACTTGAAAAGGAAAGCCGTTATTTCAAGCAACAAAGTGCGTGACTGATAAATACTAAATATAAATGTACACAAATGAGATTTAGAGCACTTACATATGTTTAATGGAGACCTCTAGGAAATCATGCAAGACAAAATTAAAACCAAAACAAACACAGAAAAGAAAAAGACTTTATTTTTTAATAGATTTGTCAACTCATAAATTAACAAAATGACCAAATTTCACTGCAGAATAGAATTTCAAAACCAATAAAAAGATCTCACTAACCATGTGACAATTAAATCAGATAATATATAACAAAATGTATTCTAAGATGAGAAGATAATTTTTAAAAAATCGGGAAAAATCTTGAAGAAATTATGGCTGAAAATGTTCCAAATGTGTTTTGTCAGACAAGGAAGGAAGCTTTTAAGATGTATGTGTATGGCAATGCACAAATTCTGTAGTGTGACTGCAGCAATTAAGTAAGTATAGACATTTGTGAAAACACATTACATTCCATACTTAATATTTTAAAATATCTAAATTATTTGGGGAAGATAGATGCCATAACAATAGGTCCTCTGTTGAGTAGAAAAGAGTAGACGATGACAGAGCTCATTACTTGGTACTTGCTATGAAGTAAGTAAATTTTTTCATCTGAAAGGGGTCATGTTGAGGACAGAAATTTGTGAAACCATAGGAAAAGGAAAATGGCATTAGATATTTCATTATGTATTCTCAAGAACAAGAAAAAACATTTTAAAGTAATTCATATCATTACTCATATATTCTACTTATAATATCTGTTTACAGAGTCTTATTTATATTGAAGCAAAAATCATATTAAAGCAAGCTAATGATGGAAATGACTTTATTTTAGGGTGTGCCTTTTCAAATAAAAAAATGAAAGATAAGATAAATCAGTCTACGAGAGAGAAAGAGAGAGAGAGAACAAAGTAAGATTCTGTCAAAAGTAGCTTTGTAAAATTAATGAGTTTATTGCAAGTCTTGAAGGAACTTGGATAAATTATACAAAGCCCACTATCAACAGTTCTCATTCCAGGTAATGATCCACCTTATGGACTTGAGGAATGGTGACTGGAGATTCGGATAAGGTAAGGGGAGAGCTTTGTAAAAGGTCAGGTGGCTCTTCAGAGAGAAAGTTAATATCCTTTCTCTCTGAAGGATAATTGTCATAATCCAACAATATTATGTTACTTTCTGTTACTGAAGTAAAACACCATGAACAAAATGGCTTTTAAGTTTATTTTGGATTATGGTTCCAGAAGGAGAGTCCAAATGGTAGGGGAGAAATGTAAGCAAGTATCCAGAGGAAAAGCTGGACGATAATGGCCTCGTCTTCACACATGAACACAAAGAGTACATTAGTAATATGACACAGTAATAAACGTCAAAAACCTACTTCCATGGTCCACTTTCTCCCTCAAGCATCTACCTTCTAGAGCTTTCATAATCTTTCCAAATAGTGCCCCTAATCAGTCACCAAATGTTCAAACACTTGATTCTATGGAGAGTATGACTCATTCAAATTATCATATCTACTCTGTATTTCAAGTTGTTTCATTGCAATGGCTGCAACCAAGGCCTGTCATGACGTTGATCGTGTCAAGCACTGAAGAAAATATTCTTCTAACTTAAAATCATTTTGATGAATAAATTGATAGTGGGTAAGGTTAAAAACTCATAGCTTCTTTGGAAGATCTTTCTTTTCACTTCAATATATAAAATAAATCTTAGTTATAATTTTTATGTTAGTAAACTGTTAATAAGAAAAAATAATACCTGAAACTAAATATGAGAATGAATATTCAAATTTTCCTGAACATCAGTTTCTTTAAGTTTTCTCAATGACAGAGAATTCTTATAGGGAAACTATATGGAAGCTAAAGAACAAATCTCAAATTTGACATTACTTTTTGTAAGCTATGACAACTCATTGTTTATTTTGCTGCCAAAATAAAATTGGAATAATCATTAAAAGTATAGAGTTTAAAGTTTAATATATTAGTTATGTTACCAATATTCATGTTCAAATTTTACTTGTAATTTACTGCTGCCATGCATATGACTGGAAGAATATTTGGGGTGCATTAGATCATTATGTGAATAACATTGTCAAGAATATTAATAGAAGAGTGGAGACATAAAATTAATAAAAATGGACTCCGTAAACCAAAACTTTTAAATGAGACCATCACTACAAAACACAGAGGGAAACAGTTTTCTTCCCCCAAACAAGAATCAATGCAAATAAACCTTGTGAACTCTCCTGTTTTTAATCTAATGGTTTATACTTAACAGATGATTTTATTCTATATTCAGACATAAGAAGACAAACCCCTATATGCTATTTGCACAGCATGATGAACTTGGCTCTGCACGAAACTCTGCTGAAGTTCTGGAATCAGACTTTCATGAACTAGATGCTCTGAGGTGAGATTTCTTTAACAAGTCTCAAATATTTCTTGAAAAAGCAGAAGTGTAAATGTCTGATAAAAAATTTTAAAATCCATTCCCTGATTTAGTAAATGCCAGAAGTAAATGCATTAACCATATAATATTTACTGATTTCCCACATCAGCAAGCTGGTGAACTACATATTGAGCAAAAATATAATCTGCAACCAGGTAGTAGGGAAAATCACTGGGAAAGGAAATATAGTTAGGTTCTAATACAGAAGCCATAGATAATTTTCATGTTCTCAGGCTGCGGTGTGCATTGTGATATGCATTTGCCCACCATGTTAGAAATACGTTAGAAACATCAAGTACATATTTCTAAGAAACCGATAGGAACCATGTTTCTAAGAAACCAATATATATCTCAAAGCAATATAATAAAAGGATCACTATAACTATATTATTTTTCTTTATTTGTTTCTGATATTATTTTAGGGTCATATTTTTAAATAAATTCTTTACTCTTTGGAACTACTCCATTACTAACCATATTGACAAATGGTAGACTAGAATTTGGTGAGTTATTTTTTGGCATGACATGGCCATTTCTTTAGTCCAAATTATGTCAGAATAAAAGGTATCATAAATTACTTGAGGATCAGAGTCTATTAATTTAAGAGATATGTAAGCCCTCCTACCATTACCATTTCCTCCTTCCTCCTCTTAACAGTAGTTTATTTTTATGAACGAACAAAGTTGATGAAATTTTTTTAAAAGCTATAACATCATAATAATTTTCCATTGCAGATACAAAAAGGTATTTTTTTAAAAAAATACAGTTTAATGGTCACATTAATTTCTTTTTCCTCACATTCATCACAGAGCTCTGTTTTCAACTGTTCTAAATCATTTCCCTTTACTGAGCTCTGGCCAGGAGAATCTGTTTTCAAAGCAAAAAATAATTAGGTTCAGAAATATGTTTAGTGATAGGAACTAGCAATGATTGTTTACATGGATTGGATGCCCTCCAAGTTCAAAATCAAAAGTACTTAATTAAGACTTGCAACTACTTTTGTAATGATGTATAAAAAGCAATTTCTCTTGTTTTTAACATAAATAGGTAATATTAATTCCCTGTCTCCACCACAGAAAAAACAAAGATAAGTATTCTGATTGAAGGTGGTTGAAAATTCAGCTTCTGTTTAAATGATGACAAGATTAAAATATGTTGAAGCAAGCAATTGAAATGCTTTTTTTATCAAGCATGATTATACTTATAGTATATTTTATGCCTGACTTTGAGGTGCAGGAAATTAAGCTGAAAGTGAAATATGAGAGTGAACAAACTAAGCCATGAAAAGGGAACAGAAATAAGTGGTTAAAGGTTTCGATTGCAAAAGCATGTGGGGATAATTAAATTTCTTTCCCACTTTCGTAAAGATGTATCTGTTTATGTTTTGATAAGAGTGAGTGTTAATGGATTTCTATAAAGCTGAGAAATCTATAGGCATATTCAGTTAATAAATTAACAAAATCCTCTTCAATAAGAAGTTTGGAAATGATGTCGGTACTGGGCACTTGTCCAATGTAACATGAAAGACAGAACCAGCAATATGCCCGAAAATGCACTAAATTGTAAATATCCTAGTACATACATGCACAGTCTGGAGACAAGGAAAAGCTGACAATCTAGTGACAAGTTCCATTGGTTCTGAGAAAATAAAAGTGAAAAGTCCTGGGTTTGTTGTTGCTGTTGTTGAGAAAAGAAATTAAGAGGAAGAAACAGCTTAGATAAAAACTGTAGTGAATGGCATCCTCTGTGATTCTTTCTAAAGACAAGAGGAAGATGGAGGTGAATAATCTTGGCTGTTTTTTCCCTTGTGGAAACCAATGAACCTTCAGGATCATGGTAGTAGACAGGTATTAGTGTTGAGCTCTGAGGTCAGTTTAGGTAGAGATATCTCTTCATTTGATTGAAGTGAAGCAGTAGTTAGAGTACAACTAAATCATTATTATTATCAGCCATTGTTTAAGCTAGTTAAGCACCAGAAGCTATCCCATGTAAGTGTCACATCGACAACTATTGTTATACAAAAAGCAGTGGTAAAATTTAGATATGAATAGTCCACCAAAGTTTCATAGGTTGAACACTTGGTCCTCAACTGCTAGCATTCTTGAAGAGTTGAGGAAATCGATGTTAGGGAATTGTAGGCTAGCTGGACGAAACTGATCATTAGGGCTTTGTTTTGAAAATTATGTTTGATTCCTTGTTTATCTTATTTTCTCTTTCCAGATTTCTCTTCTTCTCACTGATGGGAGAGAAAACAATTTTATGTGCCATGTGGTCTATCATACCATCCTGCGTCAAGATGTGAGTCAAAGGCATCCAAAACCAGACCTGGGATCTCTAAACCTTTGAACCAAAATAAGCCTGCCTTTCATTATTTTTTCTTATACATATTTTGAAATGGTGAAATATATTCTATGATTGATTAAGTTATTGTATGGTATTGATATCCATTAGGTGTCCTTATCATGTTTTCAAATTATGAATGTATTTGTAGATAAATAGGCTACTATTCAAATAAAATAATTGAAGAAAGTTTTAAAAACAAAAATAAAACCTCTCCTTGTTCTGATGGTTGAATTTCAAAATCACTTAGTGTCCTCAAGTTTGACCTACCTTTATTAGAGTGATATTTCCTTTCTAAGACTTAAAAAGCATGATAATATAAAGAAATTCAATTTTACATGTAAAACATTGGGAGAAAGCCTAGATGTCTGTCTTATTGTTGTTATATTGCTTTTTTCTATCATATGCATGCACGCTCTATTACACAAGGAACAAGAGTATGTTTCATGAGAAATTCCATTTTTTTACATCAAATGAAGTGGATTATGACATGTACTCTATCAATTATATTCTTTTGTTCACCTTAGTCAAGCACATCAGAAAAGTGTATTCAATTATATTATAATATTAAATTTAACAAATTCCATTCTTCACTATCAGCTGCCCATTCTAACATCAGTTACCAAAAGATCCACTTCACTGGTAAACTGCTGAAATTGACCAGTGAAATTCAAGAGGCATTCATCCTTGCCAATCCTAAAGTCTGGTTTAACTAGTTGCACAGGTTTGGAGATCAAATTGTATATCCTATTGCATCACAATCTTTTCTTTTCAAATCCACCTAAGATTTAACAATTGTGGATTTGAAGTCTACATCAGACAACTACCACTGACTTTTAAAAAAAAATTCTTACAGAAAATCCTATATGGGTTTTTAATAAAATAATGTCATGTATTTATCTTATCTGTTAATACCAGAGAGTGGAACAGAAGTACCTTAATGCTATTATAATATTTTTGTTTCCTTCTAGAGGCCAAGGCTATTTTCTTACATTATTTTCTTGACTGTCTCCTGATATAGCTCTTGATATGCAAGCCATTTTCTCCCCCAATACATCATGAAATAAAGCGACTATAATAGCCTGAGATATGATGTCCTACTATGAGGAGGCTCTACATTTGATGGAAAGAACGTCTTTTATTGATCATCAAATAAATATAAAATAATCATCACTTTTAGCTAGGTTCAAAAAGTGCTTTCCTTTCTCCTTCACCACTACCTCTTAAAATTGTGTGAAATTCAGCTTGTGAAGATGTTAATCCCTTTTCTTTTAGAAAAAGAAGTACTTGAAAATTATGTGGTATACTCTGTCCTCCTTATAGTCAGTAAACACACTGATCTAGTGGAGGACTCTTGAGACCTATGCTTCCTTATAACTAGGTAATTAACTGACAATGGTAGAGAAAGCCACATATGTATTGTGTTAGTTAATTTTCAGCTACATGTGTATTCCTGAAAATGTGAACCTATTTCCAAGTTAATCAAAGGTCAGAGAGTTGGAACTTACCTCTAGTCCTTCAAGGTTATTGTGTTTCTACCTTTCTACCTCAAACAAAGGTCCCACCTAGATTTAGGCCAGAGAGTTCTGCTCTCTCAAGGTTATTGTCAACAGGTGTAGCTAATATCCTGACCTTGTATTTCAGGAAGAAAGAAGAAGGTATGTTTCTACATCAAAAGAAATTCTAAGGATCCAGTTCCTTTATGGTAATAACTTTGGATTTCACCCCGGGAGTGGTTAGCCAACAGAATGTTTTGGTTTAGAGTGTGAGTGTGACTTGTTTTGTTCTAGCAACAGAATGTTTAACTATGGATGTAGCCTGCGATCTTCAATTGGTATGTTCATTTCCTTGTATCAAGTTAATACAGTTTTTTCCTCTTACTCTTACTTTTTGGGATCTGGGGTATTTAAAGCAATCAGAAATTAAACATGGGCAAATTTCAGTACTCACTGGATTTCCATCCTGATTCTATTCCATGTTTCTTCGTTTTATTATTTTCATTCACGTCTTCATATTCTTTACTAATATTTTCTAAATCCCCACACCACTATCTTGGCAAGAAGTATTTTGGTTGAGGCGGGTCCCTGACAGTTACAATGATAAAATACCATGATCAGAAACAACTTATAGAAGCAAGTGCTCAGTTTGGAAATATTAACTCAAAGGGATGAGAATCCAACCTGGCAGACACAGGAGAGAAAGCATCAGAAAATGCTGCAAAAGCAGCAAGAAACTGAGACAGATCACATCTCTGGCTGCAAGCATGAAACCAAGGGTTAGCTAGACGTTGGAGAGAGAATTTAAATTGTTTAAAACTTACCTCTTGTAACGTTAAGGCTGCACCAATTAGACTCAGATAGTGTTCAAATGTATGAGCCTATGAAGGATATTATTCAAATCAACACATGTACAACTAATTGACTTTAAATCATAAACAAAGTTTTCTGAGGGAAACAAAAGTGTCTGATAGTGTTTGGGAAGTGGTGATGAAGAGAAACCGAGGGATATATAGTAGGAGATATACTCCAAACAATAAATGATCAGCTCCAAATAGCTTTAGATAAACATGATAAGTGAAAATATGCACCATGAAACTGTCTGAATATATACTACATAGGGCAGTATGAGATAAAGTTAAAGGCATCTTATTTTGGAACTTTAATTACTTTCATTATCTCTGTTCTCTGCTGGCTTGTATTGACCTTAGCTTCATTATTTTCTAGTTTTATATATTCATCAACATCACAGAGTCTTCCACCAACAACAGCATCCTATTTGATTGTACCTTAGGCTTCTAGGTAGTTCTTATCTAGGTGCTGCTATTCTGGAATAAGTATTATGATGCTCAACATAAATAAAGTACCGATGACTGTGTGGACTCTGGTCTTTCTCACACATTAGCATAAAATGTTATACTATATGATTTTCCAGCAACAGAATTTTCCAAAAAAATGACAAGAAATTATTACTTATCAAGAAATTAATGACTCAGTAATTATTGATATATTCTTCCTGAGAAAAGGACCCACAACCCTAACTCATTCAACTGATTCTGTGATGCTCATAGTAAGGAAAAAAAATAAAAATCTTCCCAACAAACTAAATTCAAAGTAAATCAGAGAACCCTAGTAATTTATAGAACTTACCTTTTATTCCCCATCCTTTATATATACATTCTGAATAAGACTGTAACCATTTTCTTTGACTCTTGACCTAAACCATTTCTTCTTGAGAAAAGTCATGTAATGGCTCACCCGAAATAAGTCCGCACTTGACTCTTACTACTGTTTCTATTACACTCTCCTCCTGGAACAAAGGTCAACTTCCTAGTTCTCTAAGTATATTATTTTCGACCAACTACATCAGCCACATAAATCATACTTTTATCATCAGCAATATTTAGTAGTTTTACCGTGGTACCATGTATGATTTTATTCATTCTGAATTGGAGCTTTCAAAGGTACTACTATACTATAAACCACCATCCACACTCTTATAGCCCCATAGGCACACATATATGCATATACATACACACAAACACAAACATATATGTTTCTAAAGTAAAAGAAGTAGCCTCAGTTATAACTGTATCTCAGATTCCATAATTCTAAATATTCACATTTAAATCTATTTTTTATAAACACCAAAACTGAAGAAATGTAATAAACTTCTCAAGAAACTTATACACACACATACTACACATACACATTTGAAGGAACAGCATCTTATGATATCACTGTTTCAACAATAGTGCAAGAAGAAACTCCTCTTTACGGTCCTGAACTCAAGTCCCACTGTTCCCCAGACTATGTATCTATCAAGCTGTTGACCATCACCTCTTCCTTCCGCTTCCTTACAGTGCCCAACACTGGAAATGTTTATGAACCTCCCTACTGGGTAGATCTTTCTACATTCTCCTCCATATGCTGCCCAAACCCTGCCTGCTTTCAGCAGTAAACCCCTTCCCACACTGATCATGTGACAATGTCTCCAGATGGTACACAGTCCATTTGACTTGTCCCTAATAAGAATCACTAGGAAGCTACATTCATCTTTCAGTCTACTCTATTGTAACTGGGCTGTCAGTACTTGACCCACAAAGTCAATTCCAGAAAAAGAACCACTGTAAACCATAGAAGAGATTCAAGTTGTGAAATGAATATAGCTGTCAATGTCAAAGACATTACCAGAAAAAAATATTCTCATAATTAAAGGTGAAAAAATTCTCTATGATAAATACAATTTTGTGAATTTATGACCATTTTGGAATGATTACTGTGAACTGAGGAGAATGTTAAGCATGCCCAAGAAGCTGTATGGAGAAATGTTATTCCGAGTAGTTTTTCAATTTGTCTGCAGAGAACATTAAGTTACTATTGTTCCTGTGATTCTTCTGGGTTGTCCATCAGAACTCAATGATAAGTTTAGATGAATGATTTAGAGAAAGCAAACTGGAATTAAACTAGAAGTTTTTTTTATTTACAAGGTCGATATTACAATCCAGAAAGTTACCATGAAAACTTCTGGAGGGAAAAAGCAAAGATCCACTCAGTTCATAATCCTGTGATCAATGAGATAAATTTGTCAGGCAATAAGTACCTGGGAAATACTGCCATCACTGTTATGGGGTTAACCAGCTGTTCTCTGATTCGACTTGAGACCTGCTTCATTGCCGGGAATTCTATAAGGTACTATATATGTGCTTAAAAGTCTATGTAGCTGGGAAAAATCATAGTCCCATCTAGGAACTTATTATTATTGAAAATTAGATACAACTGGCTTCTAGATATTTATGAAAGAATATACATAGGTGTAATGGTTTAAACAGATATTCTAGTGAATATCAGTAAATGCCTTGACTAAACTGAAGGTTGAGAATAAGTGTCTTATGAATCCTCCAAACTGAACAAGAAATTTGTACTAACTGATCTAAACATACAGGAACCTTAAAGGGATTGAAAAAAAATGTAAAAGTTAGAAAACAGAGAAGAGGGTTATGAATTGTCATGTTCAGGCAAAGGCAGAGCTATTGCAATCATGTATTACAAAAACTGTTGATTTTCCATTTACAGAGTTTGAATCATCCTGTAGTTATAAACATGGATAAAGGCGAGCCTCAAGGATTCTTTTCAACCTATATTCAGTGAAAGGATGAACCCTGGCTTCCAGTTATACCCTAATCTGACAAGAGTTTTGTCGGGTTGAACAAGTTATGGCCAGTTGGAATGATGTGATACAATGATGGGGCTAAAGATCAGGGCTCACATTATTTTGTACCTGAACAACACTTCAGATGTCAGCTAGTTGTGAAGAGGATTGATGAATTGCTGAAGGAAATAAAAAAAAATTCCTCTAACAAGCTCAGTCCATGCTTGCTTGCTGCCCAAACCACCCTAAATTAGAAATTCCACACTCTTCATACTTCTGTTGTTCTGAAACAGGTTCTAAAACTGTAGCCCAATTTCCATGGCAGTCACTCTGTTGCCAAAGGTGACCTTGATCTTAAAGATACCCTCATGCCTCGGTATACCAAGTGCTATAATTAAAACTAAAACACCACATTTTCTAATATCCTCCGTAGTATCAGAAAATATAACATGTACGAGGCAAAAATAGAATGATACAGCAAGGAACACTTACAAAGCAAGAGTGGACATGGAACTGAAACTGTAAGAGGAGAGACACAAGCAGAGAATGTCTTGAACTAAGCTAAATAAAATCCCAAGGAGTAGGCTTAAAAGGATGGGGATGAAAGCATAGTGAAAGAACAGGAATTTAGATCACCATTCTAGACAGTTGTATGCACGATAAATTATGTAGCAAGAAAGGACAACATACTTCTAAGGAGAAAATACAGTATCTTAAATAAAGGTCACTATTTATGTTAACATGTGAATTTAAATATCAAAAAATGGCCTGCAATTAAACAACTTAAAATGATACCTCAATCTGAATTTTATCACAATAGAGCCATTATAAAACATTTTAACTGGTAGGTGCGATATATGAGATAGAGTTTTGGAGTAGCGAAAGCATTAAGCAAGCAGAGAACAGAAGTGAACCAGGAGCGTGGATTCATTTCAGCAAGAGTGTACTGAACACATTGCTGCCCCGAGGGCATCTGCCTAAGGAAGTGTTGGTCTAATGGTTGCAATGAAAGGAAGAAGTAAAATCTCTTTTCCTTCTGTGAAAGGGTAGAGATCTGAAATAATAACTCATATAAAAATTTCAGTGTTAAAGAAACTAAAAAATAATCTATTCTTAAAAGGTGATATTCAGCAGTTTTCCAGTTTGCTCATGTTTGTAGAATGAAAGTCCCTCCCGAGAATTCATAACTCTAAGCTGCAGTCCTGTAAGACTAGAATTCAAAATTCTTCTACAGCAGTGGGATCAAAAACATCTAGCCTGGGGAATTAATTTAAAGAGGTCTTAGGTGTTGAACACCTTGAATGAATACAGATCATGTGGAGGGATCGACCTTTGCACTAAGGGTTATGCGATTGATTCTCTCAGCTAAAAAACTGTGCAAGCACTTACAGCTTTTCTTTGAATCACAATTTCTAAAACCAAATTACACCTTCCCGACATTTAAAAGCAATCACTTTTAATTCAGCGTTTCCTCTGATCTCTATGTCATGTCCTTTATTTAAAAGTGCAGCTAATATAGTCAGTCACTCAGCATATTTAAAGCTAGATGTTATAGTCTTATTACAATTCAAAATTATTTTGGAACTGTGTCTTGCTATTCAGCCTTAAGAGATATTGTGCCTAGAGTTGATAGTATAGTATTAAACATGTATTAATGAAGAATATTAATGAAGCACAAAAATAATGTACAGTAAAAATAAATATGTACATGTATTCTTTAACCCCAGTCTTCTTATGACATAGACATTTGTTTATTTAGTCAACTGTATGCTTCATACACCTTGAATCTTGATCATTGTGACTGAATCTATGATCTATGGTTGAGATGCATGAACTATACGTTTACAATGTCAATCTTTTCCTATATAACTGAAATACATTTTATGTTTCTAGAAGCTCTTTTATTTCCGTGTATGTTAAAGTAAAAAATTTACCTCAACTTAAAAAAAAAGTCTCACAGGTTACTAGCACCTGTGTTCCTGAGCAACTCCTGGTGCTCAGTCACCCTGTCTGGATGGTTTGCTTCCAAATTTGCCCTGTAGTCACGGGGATCCTCTTTATTTTTAGCAACATGCTGAAGATACCTTTGACATCCTCTTGAGTAAGACACAATGACTCTGTGTCCTCTACATTTTTCTTTGCTTTACGTATTTATTCACATTTTGATCAATAAATCCACCCGTAATAAAATTGTACATTGCATCTAACTTTAGTAATTCTACCATATCTGCAAATCTCTTTATACGGGTCTATCATTCAAAGGGGGAATAGAAATGATCAATTTGTGTTTGAAAACATTCTCAACTGCATGGTTAACTTAGAGACCCATGTTACTAGGCTAGGACAGTTTGAGAAATGTTGTAACCTGGGAGTAGCATAGGCATTGTGGAGGAAGACTCGACATATGAACCTAGTCTTCTAACCCAACAGATCTATGAGCGCTAGACTGTTAATTGAGTATCATTCTTAGGTAATTTTCTTTGAACATTGTCAATTTCAGAGTCCTATGCTTTTCATTAAGGTGTACTCTTCAACTTATTGATGAATGAAAATTGTATCCTACCATAACCCTAAAGAGAAGGGATAGTAAAGCTTTCTTATCTTAAAAGAAATGCTGTAATTTTGCTAAAATGTTTTAATTAGAGACAAATGCAAATAATTTAGACTTATTGATGATAAAATTCAGAGACATCTGCCAATTAAAGTACCATAGAGTAGATATTTAACTGGCAAAATATATGATCAGGAATTTATACAAATTTCAAGAAAGAAAATGTTTTAAACAGTTATAATGAATGATAATGATACAAGCTGATAATAGAGATATAGATATAGAGAGATAGTCTTATCTGATATTTACAGTATTGCTTCTTGGTAATAGGCTACATGTTTGGGTTTTGGTAATTAGTTAGACACTAACCAACCTAGATTAACATATGAATATCTGAAACATAATCAAGATTCTGCCAATAACCACAATAAGTGCAGTATTTAAAAGTCACAGAGACATTTTGCTGGTTTGAAATAGAAATATGAGACATGAACAAATATCCAAATGAATTGTTCTTGTAATTTCTGGCAGTACTGAACTTGCTTTTGTCTGAATAAAAAGTGAAGATTGAGTCATTCATGGATCTGTCATACTCTAAACAGCTTAAGTGAAGGGATACAATATGACCACAGATAAATTTTAGAAAAATAGTTCTAGTATTTTATAATCGTTGTGTAATATTATTTAATAGGCTGAAAATTATTACTATGCAGTGTTAAGTTGACTAAACATAAAAATATTCTCTTAGTGATATTTTTTCAATAATCTGAGTATGTATATAAAGAAGGCAGACTTATTGAGTGAGTATCTGGACATCAGAAGATAAATTTATAAACTCACTTATATTTTTCTTCCATTTTTGTTTTCCAGTTTTGTAGTATGAGGAGCGGGGGTGGGAGGCTTTGTTCTGTCCTGGCCTCCCAACTAGCTTAGCCCCGAAATAACCACTTAGAAATTGTATTAATTAAATCACTGCTTGACCATTAGCTCTAGCCTCCTATTGGCTAACTCTCACATCTTGATCTAACCCATTTCTCTTAATGTGTATTGCCACTTGACTGTGGCTTACCGGCATGAGTCTAATTAGCATCCATCTTGGGCAGGAGCATCATGGTGTCCTGCCACACTGCCCTTCTTCCCAGTATTCAGTTTGGTCTACTTCACCTATCTAAATTCTGCCCTATCAAAAGGCCAAGGCAGTTTCTTTATTCAACTAATGAAGGCAACACATAGACAGAAGAACCTTTTACACCACAGTTTCAGTTTGAGGTCATTAGACTGGAAAGAGATTTGGGATTGCCTGCATAGCTAAAAATGCTATCTCATTTCTACACATTTATCCTTCCCAGATCTGTCTAATGACATTTGATCACTAAAGGTACTGGTAGCTCATTACTTCATTTGTTAAATTTCCTGCTAAAATACTGACAGGAGTGAATCTTTAACAGGCTTCATAGTCCAGGATTAAGGTTTCAGGTCTATCCTAAAAGCAGTATGCCTATTTTAACCCCAGCTAGTTTCAAGCATATTTTACAAGTCACTCCTGCTGCCTGGGTCAATTCTGACTCACAAAATACTCTCCAGACAACGCCAAAAACCTGCACTAGCTCCTGGGACTTCACCATCAATACCAACTATCCTGGGTCAAGGACACCTACCAAATAAAATCTGATTGTATCTAATATAAACCTGAGCCTCACCTCTACAACCAGGACACTTCTGACAGTTAATGACTTCCCATTTGTAGGACCATTAATAACAATCTTTTTTTCTCCTAGCCACCTGTCTTCTGATCTCCCTCAAAAAGCAGCTACCTGAGGACTCCAGGATGACAGTAAACTGAATGCCACTCCTCGCTGAGCGTGAGCCCACCTCCCGGATCTCCTCTTCTCACATGGCCCAATACTCACAGGAAGTAGTCTTGAGCTGACACCCCTTTATCTAAGGAGTCTGGGATTTGATTGAAACTGAGACCCTAGTCCTCTGACACCCCTATGTCGAAGAATTGTGGGATGTTTGGAAGCATCAACCTCAGCCCCTGGCATTCTTTCTTCGGGTACCAATGGAGCACCAAAGGAACAGAAAGATCTATCTCAAGCCCCATCCCCTCGGGAATTGACTTAGTCTGGACTACACCTCCGGAAAGCCCGACAAGCACTGACCCTTCTCCAGAGATGGTCAGGACCACTCCCACAGGCCACAGGCTGCTGTTCAGAAAAAGAACACATGATTTTGGGTTTTGTGTGGGCCCTTCCTCTCTTTTTTCCCACTATGCTTTTCTGGCCATCTGGGAGTGCTACAGTAAACATGGGAGTAGATTCAGTCTAATCTGGTCTGACTGGAACTATTTATGCTGGGGGAGAAGCTCGTTACAAGAATATTCGTATCACTGACATTAGCCAAAATATAGTTATCTTTAACATTAGTATAATTTTTAATAATAAGATGTCTTAAGAAATAAGTATTCTAACTTTTTAGAAACTAAGGGCAATTATTTTTAGGTGGGTGACTGTGCATTCCAAAGGAATTATCCTCTTCATTTTGGTTTAGCTCTGGAACTTATATTTTATCTGTGAGGGAAAGAAAAACAGTATTTAGTAAATTCCAGTTATTGTTTTTCCTATGACAAAATAAAGAAATATGATGTGACTCTCTCAAAACTCTGACTATATATACTAGAAGCCATCCAACAAAAAATATGCTGTAAACTTATGAAATAATCCTTTTGTGACATCACTGTCTGATGGAAATACTATCTGACCAATATCCCAGCTGTGTGATGGCATACAAGATGATTGCTAAATGTTTCATGATTTTAGAAGTCAGCTGTTAAGCAATAATTAGATTAAATAATTAAATAATAAAAAGTAATTCCATTTATTAAATGGAATTATTAAAGTTTTCTGTAAGAAAAATCCAATGTCCCTGAGTTTCTCATCACTTGTCGAGAAAGTTCAAGGTTCCTAAGGGTATTACTATACCTGAAGGAGTATAGTTTACTTAATTTACTTACTCCTTAATTTACTTAGAGTAAAAAGGAAAACACAAAAGGGACTGACTCTTGTTTCCTTAAAGGATCATAATGTTGGGGCCTGTACAGGGCTCCAGGTTAAGCTCAGTAGCTGGCACAAGAAATAGGGCAATAACTGCCTTTGTGTAAGGTTCAAAACTTTGAGAACTATTGGTTTGGAAAAATCTGCAATGCTTTGAATCTTTGCTCCATAAACTAATGCTATCTAATGACTAGAGTGATGGAATTGGGATATTCTCAGCTTCAGAGTCTGTTGGGGTCAGGAAAGCAATCCACAGTTGCTCAGCAGTTCAGCAAAGCAGGGACTATGGGAGGAACAATCAGCCTTGTCAAGTTCATGAATGGACTTCATTCCTGCCTCGAAAATGGCATGTCTGTCAGAATTAATAGCTCAGGAAACTACATCATCTACTCCAAAGGAAGCTGATCTTTTCCTTCTCAGGTTTAAAGAGTAGCATTCAAAACTAAGGACTCATCTACCTAGAAACATTAACCAACACTGTAATTAAGACATTAATCCAGAGATTTGCTTGCATATTTCACACTGAGTAGGATTAGACAGTATAAGAAAAATGAATACAATTAAAAAGATTAAAGTGGGAAATTGACTGTCATTATCTTAGCTAGTGGCATTATCATCCTATATAAAGAACAGAAATGATAATTTGCTGAGTGACTGTTGAAAATGTGTGGCGATGTTTTAAAGAGAATTATTTTTATGTGCAATGATTTTCTTAGCTGAAGCAAAGATGCACAATGCTCTAATGAACTCCCTCAATGCCTCTATTTGTGGATTTGCAAATTGCTCAGGTTTGTCACTTACATTTGAATATCGAGTTATCTGTTAATGCTGTGCCTATTGAGGAAGGATGTCAAGTACACTGCAAAACCTCATCTTTATTTCATGAATGTTGCCTTAAACTCCATTAACATCGGATATTTCTTCATAGAAAAGTATCTCAAATCAAACGCTTAACTTATAGAAAATGTAATAAATAAAATAGTATTTTAAAATGTGGACAAAATAGACTATTTTCTTCATCCAGATTTCACTTACATATTCTATGGTGTTAATTGATTCTTAGGAAGCAATATTCATCTATAACCCACTACTTCCCTCATTCATATGTGTATACTATGCCTAGGAATGAATGATTAATATGAAGTAACTCATCAAGGAAAGTCCATTCTCATCAATGCTTTCATATGTTACTTTTGTACTTATCAGTTTGAACTAGATAAAGTTGTCTTTTGGAGATAAAATACAATCTAATAATAAATGTTCAATTCAGAAGTTCATGCTCACTTAAGCATAAGAATTAGGTTACATAACTAAGAAACATGGATCATTTTATTAAAATAGGCTAGATCTATGCTCCAGATAATTTAAATACAATTTGTTTTGAAAGTGATAGTGAGGGAAGAGGATGGGGCTTGTCCTGAGTCTAAAACCACTGAGATTATACATCTGACCAGCTGTGACATCATATGCATGACAAATAAGCTTGCTCATTTAAAAAGATTTGTGAATTTCTAAGGGATATTTGCCTTTGAAAATTATAATGTGAAAAACATACATACCTTGAACTTAAAGTAATCCCCAAGCTCTCTGATAATTGTTCATATTTTCAAATAGAAATGATGAAATGTCTGTATCCACAGTCTGCGGATTACATAAATAATACAGCAGTATCCCATGACCAGTGACTGGGAAATTATGAAACACAATAAATATAAAATAACATGGATTTTGCAAGCATTAAATTTGGGTACAATTAATCGGTTAAAAGCTTTAAGTTAGTGAAGTCCAACAGAGGACAATAAGAAAGGAATATGGAATAATGACAGGAAAAAAAAAGAAAAGGATCATTGTAAGTTTACATCTCTGGTCCACAACAAGAAAATAGAAGTTTTAGTTAATATATAGTGTATGTGACACCTATAATATCTTCAACTGATCCTTAACAGTTTGTACAGTGAATGATGATTAGGATAAAAAACTAGAAGAATCATGACTTTCCTGGTGAATGCAATATATTGAAGATGATTGGTAGTTCATCTGGATGCCAGTTAGACAAATATTAAATAGTAGGCATCTACTATTATTTCTTAAGCATAAAGTTTTGTTTGAATCCATACCTTTTATGTTCTAGGAGAAAAAAACAGAGTACTTATTTCCATTTGTAAACTACCATCTTTTAGAGTATCCCAGAGGATGCCTGTTTTTACAATGTAGACACTGTCTTCCTTACAAATGAGCTATAAAATAAAAGCATGGAAAGCTGTTCCAGAACCTATGCGTGCACACATATGTCAGGTTAGGATGTAGGATATCTAAAGCTCCACAAGTTGAACAAGGAAAACCTTCTCATGTATTTTACATGTGACACACTTATGTAAAACATGATCTTGGCAGGCTTTGTTGACTCTCATGCGAGGCTCCCTATATGAACGGAGTCTGAGGACAGGTGGAAGTGAAGGTAGAAGAGAGGTGGGGGAGGGGATGGGAGGAGAGATGGGAGGAAAAACTGTTGATAACTAAAATAAAAAAAGATGACCTTGGGAATATGAATCCCTCCCTTAGAGAGAAAAAAAAAGTTTAATCATGGGTTCTTCTGTAATAAGACATTTTTTTTCCAGTTTCAGAAATAGTATTCACAATGATATTATCTTGAAATCATTAAGTTAGGGGATAGCTCTCATGCCAGACTCTTGTGCTAATTATGAAACACTAATTGTGTATAATTCAGGGATATTTTGCTTATCTCCTCCGGTACAATTATTTTACATAGCAGTCAAGCACTCAAGTTGTTCTGAATTTCCTTTACCTGCACAAATCTCAACAATCTTCTTTTTCAAATTTCATTCTCTAAGACACTGCATTGAATCACCCATCCCACTCAATCATTTTGATCAACCTCAATTATGCTGTTAAGAATTTTTATCTATATTTGAACTTTTTAAATAGCTTTTGCCCACACGTCTAGTTTTTGAGTTTTTCAGCTCTGGTTCACTTCTTATTAGAGAACTTAAGTGTAGTTTGTTTAAGATTTGCTTTTTTTCACTCTCTTCTCAACTCTCTAAAGCTGAATTATTTTCTATCAATTCACTGAGTGTAATTGCTGAGGTCAGTTGTGACTTGGTTTTTAATATAATCAAATGATGACTAATGTTTTCATGAATGTTGGGTATTGTCTACACAATAAAAAAACAACCTTCTTTACTGAATCTTTGGGGTTTTCACATCATACACCCCAATTCTATTCTCAGCTTCATTGGCAATTATCCATTGCAATGAGTCATTGGTTGATTCAAGGCCTTTGGTTTTTGGTAAACCATCCTCAGTGGAGATCGTGTGTCTTACAGATCTTTCGGATATCATTTGGCAGGACCAATCACGAGCTTCAGTAGGACCTAGATGGGAGAGATGCTAGGGTGAGTCAGCCCAAGGTTCGGTTGTGGACCTGGGTGTTCTTCAGTGAGGTCAGATCTTGCCACTGGGCCATCCTTCTCAGGTGTCATGGAGAAGTTATATCCCCTACATGCTCCTCGAAGAAGGTTCATCCTAGCCTTTGATGAGGGTTGGGGGGGATCTCTTTAGCAGGTTCAGGGGCCAGCTCTCTTGCTCTAGTGGGCAGTGATATAGATACACATGACTCCGGTTGCCACCGAATGCCAAAAAGAAACCCAGGGTCAAACTAGCAACCTAATGACCCAGGACCAGGATTGCATTCAAGCATATGCGAGCAGCCTGTTCCGCTACTCAATGATAGGGCAATATCTGGGTTCAAGATGCAGCTGAGAATCATGTTATTGTCCATGGCCCAACTGCAGCCAGTGTCTGTGCTGATGTCTCATGCTCCTGCTAGCTTTGAAGGCAGTGAAGATACCCAAGATCAAGGGCCAAGTTAGTGTCTTAGGGCCATACTGCCGCTGGGAGCAGTGGTAACATCCAGAACCAGCCGCAGCTAAGGACCCTGGTCCTATTACGGCTGTGGGTCTGACTTGAAGTCCGTTTCTTGCATTGGCACCAATGGCTGCATACACGCCGAGGGTTGGGGCCACAGTCTGAGGTCTTGGAGGTATCTGGCGACCACAGTGCTGCTGGAACCATTCCCACCTGTGGAGCCAGGATGTCATTTAGGCCTATGCTGTGGCCAGGGGCCGTGTACGGGGCCATGGCCCAGCCACATCTGGGGTCTGTGCTTATGTCTGTGACCAGTGGCACCTCAGGAAGCTTTAGGAATCATGCGAGATGAAATCAGAGGGCTATGCGGAGCCAGTCCCACCCTTAACT